GCATTTAGATGGATGAAGGTAGGCAGAACCACCATCTTGGGAAGCAACTTTCCCCCATCCACCTCTACCCCAAAGAAGTTCTGCAATAATACTTACATAACTGATCAATCAACATAGTACAACTATGGAGAAGGGAACTGCCATCCCAAAATGTATCAGGTGATGTATTCCCTATCCCTTGGACTGGGAAGTATTCCTATCATTGTGCAGGGGGCCTTTGTCTAAAATATTATATATAGTTCTGGTCACATATTTGCCAGAAATATATATCCACAAAGCAAGAACAGATGCAGAGAAGGGATATCAGCATGATCAGACAAGTGCTGACATGATCTTAGAAAAAAAGACTGAAAGAGGTTGACTTATTTAGCTTAGTCAAACAAAGCCTAAGAAAAGATGTGGTTGCTCTCTAAACTATGAAGAAAGCAAGCCCCAAAGAGGGAAAAGAACTATTTATACTAAAAGGACATTGCTGGCACAAGAACAAATGTTTAGAAATTCACAGCAAATAACTGTTGACAGGATGTCAAAAAAGGGCTCCAAAGCCTTAGAGGAATAACTTTCCAATGGGAATAATGGGCACAACCGAGTGAATTTTGCAATTAAAATTAGTATTTTTGCAATTAAAATTTAGATATTCTAATATGAAGATTTAAGATTAAATGGTACCTGATATAGGAACAGACTGAACTTGATCCAAATTGTGTTTTCTTGTTCTATGCTTTCATACAAGAATTACTATTTGCATCTACCCTCCCTCAGTCCAGGTCAACATCCAATCTCATCCTTGCCTTTGCCTTATGCACCTCCAAATACAGTCACATTACCCTCCACATCCACTCAAGTGCTTTGTCTCAAGCTACTCCTGCCACTCTCCCTTCTACTACCTCTAAAAATAATACTCCAAGGCAGATATCAGACAAGTAAAGTTTCAGCCCAGGCACTCGTAGCCTTTCCTGGACACAGCATTCTTCTGTTGAACATTGGAGCTGCATCCTTCTTTGCAAAAGGTAACTGGAGTGGTCAGAAAGAGGGAAATCTACAGCAGTTTCCCTTGCTGAATTTTTTTCAACCATCGCTCTTTCTAGCATTTTCTTGGCCTGACCCCAAGAGTAACTTCTATAGCCAAGAAATTAAAAAATACATAACTGAATTCTTACAAATTTGGTGTTAAGACTGATCATTCTGGGCAGGCTGTTATCAGCACAGGCAGAAAAAAATGGGAAGGTGCTTCACATGTACATTTTGCTATGTTATGGGTGATGCTCCCATCAGAACGAGATGAAGGGAGGGCTTAATCACATGTCTGGCCTTTACTTGTGCGAGTAAGCCACCGACGCTTAGCCTGCAGCAGTTCAACCTAGACTGCGTGCCACTGTCTCAACGTATGTGAATCCTTTTTTGTCACTGAGAATTCATGCCATGTTGCACAAAACGGTTCCACTCCTACTACATTTGAGCAAGAAATAGTCTCCATTGCTAGGTTTGGGTCTATTTTTGGATGTAACCTAAATATTGAATGTCAAATCACAGAGAGGTCACTAGACTCTGAATGTAGAAATATCTTCCAGGTCTTTTGTGTAACACAATGGACAACACAAGCAAACAAAAGAACTGTAACAATCCATGGTCACATCACCATCCCAGAAATACTCAGTGAACAACTGCATACTGTAGTAACCCCATTTGGTCTCTAATACAGCACAGTAGCGTAACATGCTTTTCACTGAGCTGTCACTTACGCTACATTGCAGAAAGAGCAAAATATTGAAAGATAAAATTACAGGTCACTATATCTCTGTTTCTGCCATATATAGCTCTATTTTTAGCTTTAACCTAAATAGAAGATGTAAAAGCACAAAAGGGTCTCGTGCATCTATATATGTAAAAATCACTCAAGCCTATCAAGCACATCAAGACCGAGAATAAAGTTAACCTAAATTTGGAAAATACATTTAACTTCTGGAATTTCAATTAACTTTTCATATATGGAGACTTTCTTTAATCTTCCACATACAAAAAACTGTAATCTCCCTCTCAATTAAAAAAAATAAAATAATTAAGGACATTTAAGTTCTGCTAAAATTGCAATTTTGGAGTATTTTCCAGTGCCTTGAATTATAAGTATGGAGTTGCTCCTAGTGCCTTTTAAATATTTTATGCTTTCTTTTTGTTACATTCATATTCTTAGGGAGCAATACAACGATCCCTCCTCAGAAGTTCAAAAGGTGATTTATGTTTAATTCCAAATGCGTCAGTCTGAAAGCACTTAAAGACAAAATTTAATCAAAACCCAAAATAATTTTTTAACTGAAATTTCTATTGATAAATACAGAAAAATTATAATCCTCTCATTTTAATATCAAATAAGGAAAAATATTCCTCACTAATAAAGTGACTGTGATCTTTCTGCACAGAAATCCTATTTAAGTCCATAGGGATTTGGACTAGGGAATAGTTTTCAACAAGGAGTGACAGTTCTCTTTCTACCTCAGATGACTGTAAACTATTTCCCAAGCATCTCTTTAACATAATTATACTTTATTTTAAACCTTGTTGAATCTAAAGCATGTACAGTAACTGCAGCTTCTTCTCACTCCTGAGTATTTGAATTTGAATGCTGTTTTAATACTTGCAAATTTTGCAAGAAATAAGTCAATTGTATATATACACATATATGCATGCACGTGTATGTAGTTGATTCTCCACTATACCTGCCTCTGGACTCATCACCACCAAATGAATAATAACCAGTGACTGACTCTGCTCCTGTACTCCGCTCGATTAAAGCGTAGCCTTTGGACTGCCAATGTAGGTGACATCTCTGCTTACCCATTACTACCTACTAGGAACTAAGAGAATAAAATTGCCCAAGGTGACATCTGGGATTTATTTTTCCCATTATCAAAAGCACCTAAAAAGGTCTCTCATATTTCAAGTTTAAAAATTCACCTGAATGACTGAAATACAAAGAGATGTAAAGAGATACATTTTGGTTGTTCTCATTACAGAGATCAGGGATACTTTTGCATTTTTATTATTATTCAGTCCAATAATGTGTTGATAACCTGAGTTTCAAGATCTTGCTCAACAGGAACACAGCAATTAGTTGCGCCAGGGGTTTTTTATGTCACCTTTGTTGTAGAAATTTTGCAATTATGAACTACTTTCCAGCCAAAGATATGCCCCCAAGACATTACCAGGGCTCTTGCAGACACCTCTTAAGTTAAGAAATCGAAAAAAATGTTTTAACTCCCCGTTACAAAGGTTCTAGCTCTGCTTTTTTTTTTTTTTTTCAGATGCTCCAAATAATTAATTATATTCCCAAAGTGCAGCAATGCATTAGGCACAAATTCTTTCCATCCTGCCAACTGCTGTTTTCCTGGACTCTGCGGTTTCTTACTGAATTACACTGAGACTTCTGCTTTTGCAAGATTTATTCCAGTGCTGCCTTTCCATAGTGAGAGGCCCCTGACATGCACAACCCTCTACCATGACAGAGAATAGAACTTAAACTTGATTATGAATTTGATTAAATACTAGGTAAACGATCACGAGCAAATCAAGTAATAAATATTTGAAAAAAAAGATCTTTCCTGGTCAGTAAGATTTATGTGGAAAAGATGTTTGGAAAAGAGTGAGAGGGGGGGAAAAAACCCCACAAACCAATTTAACCTTGCCAACAGATAAATAAGAGAAGGCATAATAAACTAATTGCATAGTTAAGAGCAAATCAGGAATCTTTTCTAAAACAAGGGGAAACTCACTAAAAATATATTACTTGGAAATTCAAGAGTTAGAAAAGGAAGGACTGAATCTGTATTTGATAATCAAAGAAGATGCTGAAGCTACCCCTACACCAAAGTTCAGAAAGGGACTGACCTTTTACATGTATTTAAAGGTACAAGAATTATTTAAAAAAATGAAGATAAACATAGAGGTTGTCCTAAGTCTGTAACCATTAATAATGGTAAATTAGGATAAAAACTGCAGGAAGCAGATGATACCATGTCTGCCTAACATGGGTTCTTACATTTGCCTTAAAAACATCTGGAACAGCTCTCACAAGAGTACTGGCCTGGACAGAGCCAAAAGTGGTTCATTACCATTATGCACACTAAGGAAATTTGACAGTTTGCAGGTAAAACATCTCAAAACTTCCCAAAAATATAAAGACTAACAGCACCTATTAAAAATACAATCGGTGTTATTTTCCATATAAGAAAACTGAGTCTTGGACAAATGCCACAGCAACACCCAGCAGATCAGACCTGCAGACATATCCCACCTTGGAGTCCTAAATTGTGATCAAAGTAAGATATTTTCTCCTGCAAAGTCACCCATCACACTACTGAGAAGAAACCAGATTGGCCAGAGGCTCAGAAGATAATTATTTTAGATTCACAAAACCTATTGATTGTTTGGAAAGAGAGATGAGCATAACAAACTACATCTAAAGAGGTTCTGGATATTGACTTCCTGCTACCCCACCATAGACTTACCTTGGGCATTGTAAACCAGCATCTTGGCTCAGCAAAATGCTCAACCCTCAATTAAAAAATCCCAGGAACTGGGGGAGGGGAAAATAAAATATAATAATTAAAAAAAAAAAAAAATCACAGGCTTTGGACCCACCCATGGGTTAGAAACTTGCATGGACTCTTATCATGCCCCTACACAGCTATCTGAAGACAATGGCTTGGCTTGCAAGGAATTTAGTTTTCATTTACACCTTCTTTACCTTTAGTTATGTCTGAAGATCTTAAATGTTTGTGGAAAAAAAAAAAATCTCTTTTGTCATCCCATGATCATATTTCACCCAAAGATATCTTAGCTTTAGGAAAGATATAAAAGGAGCTGCAGTTTCCTCCAGGCACCATGAGATGACACCTGCTCTCCTATGAATACCCTCAGTACCTTCTTCCTCACTGACAGCAACCCAGTGTAGACGAAAAGGCCATGTGCCTGGGAGAAAAAAAGTGAAAGGAAGAAGTACTTACCACGAGGACAGCACTCAACTGATCACTTTGGACCTGCTGCACTTGGATGCAGGGTCCTGGCACTTGTAACCTTGAGCCGCTGGGAATGTTCCCAGCATCACCATTTGGAATGCTGTTGTTACTAGGCCCAAGACCTACAGATGCCCTGTACAAGTAGGTATGGGTCAGTTTACCCACACCAGTGACCTCCAGGATGTCTGGTGGGAGGTGGGAGCTGGGAAGCATGTGCACACTATAGCAATAATTCTCATACTCATCAGCTGGGCAGCAGCAGTCACTGCAGCAGCAAGTCTGGCAGCGGCATAGCCGCACAACAGCAAGAAAGAGGAGGAACACAGCAAAGATGAAGGAGACACAGGCAAGAGAAATTATCAAGTAGATGTTTGTAGCATTGAGCAGTGGTGGTGGCTCCCCACTGTCATCAAAGTCCGGCAGCACCTGAGGCAGGGTGTCAGCCAACAGGATGCCCACTGTCACTGTAGAGGAGAGGGGTGGATCCCCATGGTCCTGCACCACCACAACCACCTTGTGCTTGAGCAAGTCAGTGGAGCGCATGGAACGTGTGGTGCGCAGCTCACCAGAGTGTGGTGCCAAGTGGAACAGAGTGGAGTCAGAGGAGTGGATGAGGTGATAGGAGAGCCAGGCATTCTCTGCATTGTCCTCATCATCTGCCACCACTTTGGTCACCAGGTAGTCCTCATCAGCCAGGCGGGGCACAACTTCCACAGCTATTGAACCATTCTGGCCAGTGGGATACAGGATGGCTGGGGCATTGTCATTCTGGTCCGAGATGTAAACATGCACAGTTATGGCAGCACTCAAGGCCGGTGACCCATTGTCCTTGGCTTCCACTTGGAAATGGAAGCTCTTAAGCTGCTCAAAGTCAAAGGCACGTGTTGCATAGATGCTCCCATTGGCCAAGCTCACAGACAAAAAGCTGGCCAGGGCACTGCCCGCAACTGTGGAATTCCTGAGCAAGTAAGAGACCCGTCCATTCTCCCCCATATCAGGGTCAGACGCTGAGACTTGGTAGAGAAAAGCACCAGGTGGATTGTTCTCCTCCACAAACATATCAAATGCATCCGCACTGAAGACGGGGGGGTTATCATTCACATCAGAAATCTGCACCCAAATGGTCTTCTGAGTGCTGATGGGTGGAGAACCCAAGTCTGTGGCATTAATGGTGACATTGTAGCCACTGGTCAACTCTCGGTCCAAAAGCCCACTGGTGACCAGGCTGTAGTAGTTTTCGAGGGAAGGCTTTAACTGGAAGGGAAGGTTATCAGGGATCTGGCAGGTTACTTTCCCGTTCTCCCCAGGGTCCTTATCCATAACACTCAGCAGAGCAATCACTGTACCAGGTTCGGCATCCTCAGGAATGGGACTTGAAAGGGATGTAATTGCTATCTCTGGACCATGATTGTTCACATCAGTGATTTCCACCAGCAACTTAGCCGTGCTGGACATGCCAAATGCCCCGTTATCCCTTGCCTCAATAAGCATCTCGAGGAGAGGTCTCTGAACAGCTAAAACGCCATTGACTGTCACCTCCCCATTGTGCGGGTGAATTAAGAACATCCGCTGTAGATCAGCAGAAGTAGTATTGCTAAACAAATACCTGATCTCTCCATTTGGACCTTCATCCAAGTCCGTGGCATGCACTTGCACTACCAAAGTGCCACTTGGGGAGTTTTCCAAGATACTCGCCCTGTAAACTGAGTGCTCAAATTCTGGTGCATTGTCATTGGTATCCAGCACGGTCACAATGACCAGGACATCACCGGACTTTGGAGGATCCCCACCATCTTTGGCTGTAAGGACAAGTCTGTGGGTGGCTTGCTGCTCCCTATCTAAGGCTTTCTTCAGCACCAATTCAGGATATTTACTCCCATCCCCACGTGTCTGCATTTCCAAATGGAAATGTTCATCAGGGCTCAGAGTATAATTCTGGACACTGTTGGTCCCTTCATCGAGATCTTGGGCGGTGGGGAGTGTAAACCGTGCCCCAGGTGACAGGAACTCAGGCACGTTTATGTGATATTCACTTAAGGGAAAGCTGGGGGAGTTGTCATTTTTGTCCAAGACTTTAAATTCCATCCTATAAAGCTCTAGAGGGTTTTCTAACACAAGTTCATAATTCAGCAGACAGACAGACTTTAATTCACAAAGCTGCTCTCTGTCTATGGGCTCATTAACGGACAGAGCCCCCGTGCTTGCATTGATATTAAAATATTGCTTACTTGAACCGGTGATCACGCGGAATTTCCGAGCTGAAAGTGTAGCTGCATCTATTCCTAAATCCTTCGCTATGTTCCCGACAGACACGCCGCGCTCCATTTCCTCAACGATGGAATACACCACTTGCCCATTCACCGTGCAGCAAATAAGGCAGAAGAGCATTAGATAGACCCACATT